CAGATTCTTTCAAATCCAACTTTTTTTATATATATAGATTCTTCAGAAAAACTGTACTTTGAGATTATACGTGCTCTAGGGTTATACTAAAAGAAGCCCGTCTTTTATTTGGGCCTTCTGTAGGCCCATCAACATTTTTGCTCAAGGCCCATTACAACTCATCAAAGCATGTGATGTAAGCTAAGCTTCAAGGAAAATCATGTTTTAAAAAACAGAGATCTTTTACATACATACACATGTATATGTGTAAACATGCATACATCATGTTTCAAAGAGACCCTGTACATACATACATACATATGTATATGTATCATATTTCAAAGAGACCTTGTACATACATACATGCATGAATGCAAGCATATATATATATATATATATATATATCAGGTGCAAGGGACAAAACAACACACGAAGAAAACTTTAAAGTTACATAAACTTCCACCACTTCCAACAAACTTTTAAGTTGGAACAGTTTTGGTTTAGAGTCACTGTCGGAAACCGATTTGGTTGAGAGCCTCAGAGATATGCTTCATAGTCGGCCTCTTCTCAGGGCTACTACTAACGCACGCCATTGCTATCTTCAACACTGAGATGATCTCCTCTTCCACTTCCTCTGCATTGTCCTCCTCCAAAGACCGATCCAATATATCCGCCATCTCCTTCTTCTCCTCGATACACATCTGAATCCATTGAACAATACCCATTTCAGAATTTCCCACGCTAACAACCGGTAACCTTCCGGTTATCATCTCGAGTAAAATCACACCGAACGAGTAAACATCCCATTTCTGAGACGGTTTAACTGCTTTCATGGCTTCTGGCGCTTGATAGTACGATCCCAGTTTGGATGCTCGGTCTTGTGATTGCTCATCGGTTACCACTCTGTTTGATTCTGAGGTCGGGGATCCTACAGCGATGTTGGAGAGACGGACAAGTCCAAAATCAGATATATGAGGCTCCATATCGTGCCCGAGAAGAATATTGCTCGGTTTGAAAGATCCATGAACGTACTTCTTGGGGCTGAACTGATGAAGATAGACCAACCCTCTTGCTATTCCCTTGATAATCTTCATTCTAACCGGCCAAGACAGTGGCTTGAATGCCACCCTTCCTAAAATCATATCCAAAAAACCGTAAAAGGAAATACACAGATTATATAGTTTTCAGGGTTATCTAAGGTATCGAGGGTTTTTACCGTGGATTGCATTGGCAAGACTTCCATTAGGTATGTAGTCATAGATGAGAAGCTTCTCCTCCACGGACCAATAATAAGCTCTGAGATTTACAATGTTTGGATGCCTCAGCTCTCCAATGGCTTCAACTTCTGTCTGAAACTCCTTATACCTTTGAGATCCTCCTCCTCCCAATCTCCTTACAGCGACAGTTAACCCGTCTTCAAGGACAACCTTGTACACAACCCCATTCCCGCTCTT